TGGAGGCCCAGTCCCCGATGCTGAAGGAGAAGCACCAGCTGGGGGGCAGAGACTGGAGGGGGAGGGGCAGAGCTGGTGGGACCCAACCAGTGCTCTGGGGGGGCAGGGCAGTTGGAGAGGGGCCAGTAGGGCTGGCTGGACTGGGGGGGCTCCCCATGCTGGCGGGGCTGGGAGGCAGGGTGAGGCAAAGGGTTGGGCAGATGCTGGGCACTATGGTGGTGGGGATCCACATGATGGCAATGCTAATGGGGTTAGGCACCCCCAGTTACCTGTGGGTCCCCCGGTGATGCTGGACCTCTGCGATGATGTCCTGGGTGTTCTCTACCTCCCCGTCCGTAAACACGAACAGCTGAGGGGGGAGAGACTCTGTCAGAGCCGGGGACCCCAACCGCCCCAGAGACACCCCCTCCCTGTTGAGAACGGGACCAGCCCCCTAGAGAGTCTGCCCCACTGACCCTCCCAGAGACCCCCAGCCCCATCCCTCCCTTCCCAGAGATCTCCCCTGAGGGGCTGACAGACGGGGACTGGTGACCTCCCCTATCTCGGTGACCCCCAACCCCTAGGCATGACCCCAACCCATCACCTGTTCACCGGCCCCTGGAGACAAGAGCCCACCGACTGCTGTGGGCACTTTTCCATGAACTCCCTCCTGACCCCCCCACCAGTGACCTCCCTGTCCCTCCGGGCTGCAGGGCACCCCCCAGAGCTGGGCACAGCACAAAGCGCTGCCCCTCCCAGCTCTATACAGAGGTACCCCCACCCCCCGGTTGCTACCTGCCACGTCCTGCTCATACCCCTAGGGGCACCGGCCCCCCATCTGGCCCAGAGCCCCAGGCCCACTCCGAGCAACCTCTTGGCCCCGCTCGGCTGCCCCACAGGGCTCCCAGTCCCCTCTCCGATCCCCTCTCCCAGGGTCTCCCCCTTGAACAGCCTCCGAGGGGAGCGGGGCGGGGCGGAGGGAGCGCTGGCAAGGAGGGGCCTGTAATGGCATATGGCCCACAGCAACAGCTGGGAGCAAACACCCCATGGGCGGCAGCGGGGCACTGGGAGTGGGGGGGGGGGGGGCTCAGAGTTACTGCAGAGAATCCTTCCCAGGGGGCTGGTTGGGGGGGTCTTGCCCCCATCCTCTGGGCAAGCTGACCCCCACGTGTGGGGTGGGGAAAGGATTTTCCCCTGGCTCAGACTGGCAGAGACCTGAGGGGGTTGGTCTCCCTCAGCAGCCTGGGGCACTCACTGCTTTGAACCAGAGCAACTGGGGGGAGTCGCTGTGACCTGACGCCTGTAACTCAGGGTTTGGGGGTGCCGGTGACTCAGCCTGAGGGGTGGGGCTGGCCCCGGGGGCAGCGAGGGGCTGAGCAGTATCACGGGGGTAGGCGGGGGTGGCGGGCGAGGAGCTGGGGCCTGATGAGATGATCACGATGGTCCCTTCTGTCCTGAAAGTCTGTGAGTCTGTCCCCGCAGGCCCGCATCCCTCTCTGAGACCCCCCACATCACCCCTCGGCCCCACAATCACTCTCCAAGCCCTCCCCAGGATGCCCCTCCGGCTGGCCCCAGCGCCCCGGCACCTGGCGTGGGTGCCCGTCCCGGCAGGGGCTGCGGTAAACGGCTCGTAGCGGCTCCAAGATCTCGGTGCCCCCCAGGTGAGCCTGGAGCAGCTGGAGGCGCTGCAGGGACTTGGCCTTGGTCTGCTGGGTATTCTCCACGCTCTGCCTGTGGGGGGTGCCGACAGGTCTGGGGCTGGGACAGACGGAGCCAAGGACACGCCTGTCCCCTAACCAGCCCTGCCCCCTAACCCACCGACACGACTGTCCCCTAACCAGCCCTGCCCCCTAACCCACCAACACCCTGCCCCCTAACCAGCCCTGCCCCCAACAAACAGACATGCCCTGCCCCCTAACCAGCCCTGTCTCCAACCCACGGACACCTCCTGCCCCCAACAAACAGACATGCCCTGACTCCCAACCCGACACCCACTGCCCCCTAACCAGCCCTGCTCCCTAACCAGCCCTGTCCCCAACCCACCGACACCCCCTGCCCCCAGCAGACAGACATGCCCTGCCCCCCAACCTACCAACCAGCCCTGCCCCCAAACAGACACACCCTGCCCCCTAACCAGCCCTGCCCCCTAACCAAGAGACACCCTCTGTCCGCTAACCAGCCTTGCCCCCTAACCCAGCCAGCCCCCTCCCTGCCCTTCGGACTCACGGGTAGAAGGACTCAAACTCAGACCCAAAGCCATAGATGTTGAAATAACAGCCCAGGGGCAAACTCTTCAACAGGAGGACCAGGGTCTCCTGGGGACAGACAGACGGATGGAGAGTCAGCCCCACGGGCCCAGCCAGCCTGGGCTGCTCCCCCGGCACGGCCCCACGGGCCCATCTAGCGCAGCCTCCCGCCTGGCCGTCCCTTGGTGCTGCTGATGCGCTGGCGGGACAGGTCTCTGCGTCCATGGGGCAGGCCGTGCTGCCGGAGCGGCCCAGCAGGAGGACGAACTCCCCGGCTGGCTCTGGGCCGGCACCACCTCGGGCACTCTGGGCAGCAGGGTCATCATCACGGCCGGGTCGCCCATCAGGGAGCCTGCGGGGGATGGGGGCCAGTCCCCAAATGGGGTGGGCATGGGGTCAAGCCCCTGTGAGCCACTCCCTCAGAGCCCCATGACTGCCCCCAGAGACCCACCCCCAATGCTCTGTCTCTCCCCCTACCCCCTCTCCCCTTAGATCCCCCCACCCCCAATACCCAGCCCCCCAGGGCCTGCTCTCCCATACCCAGTTCTCCCCCATGCCTCCTAAACCTGCAGTGCTCCCCAGTGCCTGCCTGCTCCCAGACACCCCGCCCTGCCAACGCCAGCTCCGCCAAGACCACCCCCCCCGCTCCTGTCCCCTGACCCTCGCCTGCCCCCAGATTCCCCCAGCACCCACCTACAGCAGTCCTAGGACCCCCCTTTCCCCCATCATCCCCCTCATTGCCCCGTGCCCCCCCCGATCCCATGTCACCGCTCAGCACCTACCTCACCCTCCCCAGATCCCCTCCCCATGGATCCCCCTCTGCGCCCCTGCCCAGGGGTAGTAGGGTTCATGATCCCCTCCTGCACCTGGCTCGGCTCCGGGCAGCCGGGCCTCCAGCACCATGCTGGGTTTGGGTGGCTCCGCGTAATACATCAGCAGCTCCAAGTCCCGGTCCCATGGGGGGGCCTGGGCCAGCGACACCTGGGGGCGACAGACACACAGTCACCTCCACACGGGTCCTGGGGGGGCAGGGTCCCGCTGGCTCTCGCGCCCGGCTCGGCACCCCCCAATGGAGACGGGGTGCGGGACAGACCCTGGGAACGCTGGCTGGCCCCCCCCCGGTTAGGTGGGGAGAAGAGAAGGAAGAACAACCCCAAAGGACAATGCGGGAACTTGGATTTTCCTGGTGAAAAATTGCAAAAAATTGACATTTTGGGGGGGGCTAAATCTTTCCAATTTGGGGGTGACATTTTCCTGGTCCCCCCACCTCCATTTACTTCCACTGAGAAACAAGGTGAGGGAAAATCCCAGACACTAAAAACTTACAGAGCCCAGCGACTGCCCGGGATTTCATCCCCAAACTGGCAGATTTCCACCTGTCCAGATTTTCCCCAGAGAAACTGGGAAATTCCCCAAATCCATTGGAGTTGCTCGATTCCTCCACCCCCGCAATCACCCAAAGAGTCTGGCCCACGCTCCCCCTTTCCGGACCCACCCCCTGCCCTACACCACATCTCTCACCCCCTGGGACCTTCTCCCCCAGCCCACAGCCCCGTTCCCTGGAACCCACCCCTCACCCCAGAACCCTCCCCCCTGACCCACCCCCAGCACCCTCCTCCCAGTGGGGATGGCCGGGACCCAGGTGTCCGGGTGAGCCCTTACCTGGGCAGTGGTTAGATCCCTGGCTGTATAGCTCAGGGGGGTGAGGCGGCTGCTGGAGAGCAGTGGATGCTGTGGGGCGACTGCAGCATGGCGCTTAGGCTCAAGGTGTAGGGCAGCTCCCCGTGGAGGACCCGCGGGACCTCCTGGGTGATGTTCTCCCCATCCCACCCTGCAGAGAGAGACCCCGGGTGAGGGCCAGGGGGCTGGGAGAGTGGGGGAGAGGATGGGGGTATGAAGTATTGGGGGGGGTATTGGGCTGGGATATCAGGGGATTTCAGGATGGCTGGGGTGGGTCACATACCCTGGGGGGGGCACTTACCGCAGCGAACACAGTAGTGGCCTATTGGGCATTATGGGGGCTATGTGGGTCTTTCACTGTGGGGTACGTAGAAGGGGCTATGGAGATTTCAGGGGGTTACAGACTGCGGGATCACTCACCATGGGGTGTGTAGCTGGGGTTCTGGGGCCTATGTGGTACAGGGAGCTATGCGGGATCTAGGGCACCTATAGGCCTGGTCTCAACATGAGGCATGTCAAAGGGGTGCAGCATGGCTGGAAGCACACAGCTGGGGTACAGGGGAGTATGGGGGGGATCTGTGGGTCTCACCATGGGGCGCGTGGGGGGGACTGTGGGTCTCACAGTGATGGGGGTAGGGGATCTGTGGGTCTCACTGGAGGGCGTGTAGCGAGGCTGCAGGGGGATCTGTGGGTCTCACCGTGGGCCTGTAGCGAGGGTGCAGCACGGTTGGCAGCACGTAGCGGGTGGCCCCATCATGCTCCAGCAGCAGCTCCTAGGTGTAGCTCAGGGTCAGCATCGCCTCCTCCCCGGGGGGTAAATTCCCCAGAGAGCAGCTGAACACGTGGCCCCCGGCCTCCTCCTGCTGCAGCAGGAACAAGCTCTGCCCCCCGGCCAGCGCATCCCCATACAGCTCCTATGCCTGCCAGGAAGGATGGGGTCACCCTGAGATCCCCCTGACATCCCCCTGCCAGCATGTTCCCATACAGCTCCTATGCCTGCTGGAGAGACGGGATCACCTCGAGATCCCTCTGCCCCCCAAAATCCCCCTGCCCCCGATATTCCCCTGCCCCTCGGCCAGCACTTCCCTGTTCACCTCCTGGAGAGACGGGGTCATCCCGACATCCCCCTGTCACCCAAGATCCCCTGCCCTCCCGATGAGCACATCCCTGGACAGCTCATGCACCTGCCGGGAGAGATGGGGTCACCCCGAGATCCCCCCAGCCCGGCCCCCTCCTCTCTTCCCCCCAGGACCCCTGCCCCCCAGCACCTGTCTCTTTTCCTGGAGATGGGTCCCCCGCAGCCAGGCCTGGAAGGCATCGACAGCGCCTCAGCGTCCACGGGGAACTTGAACACCGCCTCCACGGGCCCCAGCTCCTCGTTCCTGTGGAGCAGCTGGCAGCCCGCTTCCACCACAAAGCCTCGGATCAACACCGACACCAAGATGCGGTGCAGGGGCACTGGGGGCAGGGGGATATCAGCCACAGACCCCGCACGGGGGGGAGGAGCCGTGTCAGCCATGGGGCCACCCTCCCTCTCATGGCACCCCGCAGCCCTGACTCACCCGGCTCCTTGGAGCTGGTCAGGAGGCCGCAGCTCATCATCTTGGCTCTGGGGTCGGGGATCTGTGTGAGGGGAAGCGGGAGGGGGGGTGAGATATGGGGTTCCCATGGAAACTGATGGCCACAGGGTGCCCTGACCCACCCCCCACCCACACACACACTCGGCAATGGCTCTGAGACCCTAGCCCCACCCCCCTGCTCAGCCAGGTCCTGTGGCAGGGAGTCCCACAGGCCCAAGCTCCTGAGATCAGAGTCACGGCTCTGCCCCAACTGTGCCAGCCCCTGGCAGGGAGGGGCAGGCAGGGACTGGGGTACAGCTGGGAGTTGGGGGATGGAGAGAGAAACACAGGGAGGTATATGGGGATGGATGGACAGATGGAAGGAAGGAGAGGTGCAGGGGTCAGACGGACAGACGGAATGAAGGGGGATGGGGGTCTCGTGCGTTAGAACGAGGGGGCTGGGAGCCAGGACTGCTGGGTTCTATCCCCAGCCCCTGGGGGGCCCCTGGAGCAGTGACAGGGGTTGCAGGGGACCCGGGTCGGTCACTGGGGGGTTGTTAACCCAGCTAGGCCCTTCTCCCCGCTGTCGCCCTGCGGAGAAGCAGAGGTTTGTGGAGCAGGCTCTGGATCCTGGCTGTTCTTGGCAGGGACAAGGCCCTGCTATTTACTCAGCTTTCACCCCAGGCTGGAGCAGCTGCCATAGACCCCCCCACCCCAACGGGGGTGAAATCCAGCCGTTCTTGCTCCACGCCACCGAGCAGTTCGGCCTGGGCCTTGGATTTGCTGCCTTACGATGGGGTAAGAGGACAGCAGCCTGTTGATTTCTCCCGCAGCAGAAATCTGGCTCTGAGGCGCGCAGGGAGCCTCCGCGGAGGAGCGGGGAGCTGAGGGTGGGATGGGGGCGAGGAACGCCAGAGCTGCCGTGACTGAGAGGGGCTCCCAACCCCACTCTCCAAGCCATGTTTCTGCTCGCCACCACTCCAGCCCCCTGGAGAATTCCCAGCTGGAAGGTGGGACGGGGAGACTGGGATCACCTGGGCTAATCCGCATGCCGGGGAGGGCCTGGAACGAACTGTGGGGGGAACGTAGGCAGATTCGTAGACAAACCTCCCGTCCGGCTTCACACATGGCCCAGGATGGAGAATCCACCCCAGCCCTCGGGGAGTTGGGCCAGCAGCTAATTCCACCCCCTGCCAAACAGGTGAGCCTCCCTCCTCGCCTGAATTCATCTGCCTGCAACTCCCAGCCACAGGACAGGCCACGTTGCCCCCCGCAGGTATTTACAGCAGTGGGGCGAGGCCTCTTCACCTTCTCTGGGCTGCGCTCCCTAGGCTGGGAAAGGGCTGAGGCCAGGGCAGGGCTCCAGCGGGGCGCGGGGGCGGGTCGGTTGGTCCCGGCACTGAACTCTGATGCCTAATTCCCCGCCCGGAGGAAGGGAGTCGGCGTGAAACTTCGGCCGATTCACAGGCGGCGGCTCCTGCTGCAGCAGCTGCTTCTTGGGGTGCGAGGGAGCCGCAGGGCGGGGTGGGCGGGGGTGGGGAGCTCCGACCCCTCATGGGACCCAGCGGACCCCAGGAGCCTGTGGGGAGCAGGTCAGGGCCGGTGCCCCCCGGTGCAAAAGGGGAGGGCTGAGATTTGTGTCCTGACACCGGCCGGGCGCCACGGGGATGGCCCCTGGGAAACCCACGCAGGGAGAAGAGCGGAAAGGGAGGGTGGATTGGGGGGGGGGGGCGGAGCAGAAACGCTTCGGGGTTACCTCCCTCCAAACACCCCCAAACCCGCCCGGCACGCAGGGCCCCACAGCCAGGGCGGGGAGACTCTGCAGGGGCGAAGCCCTGAGTCGGGGGATGGGCCCAGACCAGGGGGTGGGGGGCCCTGGACACGGAGGGGAAGGGGGGCTGGGGCCAGGCCCCCCAGGGGAGGGGGCTCGACTGGGGCCCGATCCGCACCCCCGGTACCTCCTCGCTCGGTCTCTGAGCCAGGCTGGGAGGGAGAGTGTCCCCGGAGCCCCGCCCCCCGCCAGGGAGCGTCTGCAAACGCCTGACCCCCCACCCAACCCAGCCAGGGAGCGTCTGCAAACGCCTCACCCCACACCCAACCCAGCCAGGGAGCGTCTGCAAACGCCTCACCCCCCAGCCAGGGAGTATCTGCCAGCTCCCCTTCCCCAGCTTCTATAAACCAGGGACCATCTGCACAGTTGGCCGCCCCGCCCTCCGACCCGGAAGCCAGGGACTGTCTGCAAATTCTTCGCTCCACACATCCTGCCATGTCCCCCCATTGAACTGGGGCTGGGGAGAGGGGGTCTCCAAACTGACCCTTGCTCCTTCCTGCCCCTTTATGGCGCAAAAAGCGGGGAGGATTGTGGATGCAAATGTTTCAACTCCAAGATACCCCTTTCCCATCAGGGTATTCACCCCACACTCTCCATCCAGGGGGCAGTGGTGGAAGAGGGGCGAGAACCCATCAGTCGACCGTCACACCGAGAGACATGAGGAAGCTTGGCTGCATGTGAGGAAGGGAGGGGGGAATTTTCCACCCACCGCGTTTCCTCTGCGGTCTCTGCAGATCCTGCTTTTAATGTCCCGCTGGATGGTGTTGGATCTGCCCCCCCGGCCCTGAGTCCTCTGTGGGTGGGAGCCCAGAACTGTGGCAGAGAGAACCCCCCCTCCACACACAGCCCCACACCCATGGGCCTCTGGCCTGGGGGGGACTCACTGTAATGGGGAGGTGGGAGGTCAGTCTCCATGGCCCCTCCAGACCTCGCTCTCTCTGCTGAGGCTGTCAGTGAGGTAGTGCCCAGGGGGATGGGGGCATCTTCTCCCCTACGGCCTGAGCTGGGACCCACCAAATGGACCCCACAAGCAGGCGTCAGCTGGGATCGCTCTTCCACCCCCACGGAAGTGGCTCTGGACCGTAGCTGCTGCTGCTGCTGGGGCAGGTTCATAGGAGGCGCCTGTGAACGGGGCAGCCTGACCCACCCAGGGGATGACACAGGGGGCACCCAGGGATCCTCCCTTCCTTGCAATTCCAAACATCACAGTGTGAGAGGAGGAGGATCCCCACCCCCCACTCCTTGATACCCCCTCACCCTCACTGCGAGCATCTCAGCAAGGAGAGGAGACGTCATTACCTGCGGGGGACACCGGCCTGGGGAGCAGCTGGAGAGAGGCTGGAAGAGAAGAGAAGAGAAGAGAAGAGAAGAGAAGAGAAGAGGTGAGAGCTCCAGGGAGGGGATGGAGGTGCAGAGGGATGGAGGGATGCTGGGCGGGGGGATCTCCAGACAGACAGACGGACAGAGGGAAGCGGGCCGAGGGAGGTCACTTACCCAGCACAAGCAGAAGGAGAGTTCGTGCCATCCTGAGCTGGTTGCTCTGGGGTGGGAGCTGGGTTCTCAGCTCAGCCACCGGCCCCGTCTGGGTGCAGGGAGGGGAATGGGCCCTTCCCCTATGGAGGCAGAGGCAGAGGAAGTCACAGCCTTAGGCACAGTCACCGCTCAGCTCAGAGGGCCATTGCACTGTAACTACACTGTAACTACAGTCCTCTTACTTTAAAGTGTAATGTGTATCCCTCTTTTGTATTTATATAGGGCTCATGTTGAAGGAGATTTTTGTCCACACACTCTGTTCCTGTGAGACACTAGGGCAAATTCTCTGAAGTCAAGTGAGTTACACCAGATGTGAATTTGGTCCAATGCCCTTTGTAACATCAGTACCCAAGCTTGTATCTCAACTTGATAATCACTCCGTAGGAAGGATAAATAAGTCTTTAATTTAAATCCTCAGATCCTCAAACCATGAGCCTGGGATTTATATTGCATATTAGACAAAAAGCGCACAATAAAAATCATATCGTATGAGGTGATCAGGTCCCTCATTCACATTAACTGCTGTGTTTCTATGTCTTGCTGTCACTGTACACTGAGTTGAGTACATTGTGAAATCAGTAACTTGAATTATTCTTTTATCCTTGTGAACCATCAAATGATATTTCCTGAATTGTTTCAGGTGCTCCGATGGTCCAGTGAAGCACAATCTAGAAATTCCATTTGAAACATCCATGTTTGCGAAGAGAAACCAAAGCTACCAGTAAAATTCTATTCAAGTATCAGGGGAAATGAAGGTGTATTAACTGTATGGAGATCACAGTTAACAAAAATTATCTCTCTCTGTGTCCCCATACACATCTATCTATCTAATCTAATTTATTGTACTATCTAGGTATTCCAACAATAAATAAATCCAGACTGATCAAGTGCATAGTGTCTCACAAAAGTAGAATTCACAGAATAAACTAAATTGGTTGAGAACGATTTGTGGACATAATCTTCCTTGGACATATCAGTTTCATAACCTTTAACATTTTGAAAACAGCCTCCACCAGGCCCAAAGTGATAGCTATCCACAAAAGCACCACATTTCGGAGGCACTTCATGATTCTAACACCTGTGAGTGCATGGAAACGTTAGAATTTACACTCACGAAACTCAATGGACTCAAGATTCAATGGAAACATGGACACTGTTTATGTGAATCAGTGAGTGACCACTTACAATGATCTTTATGTGAATATTAGGTAAATCAGATGGCACAAAATCTTAACCAGTTCCATGTTATTTTATGAAGCGATATTAATTGTACATAGCACATCCATCTGTTTTAAGTACATTTGGTAGACCGGATGCTAATCTACTGTAAATTGGCAGTTGAACATCTGGCCCTAGACAGCAGGCAAGCCTCAAAGGGTTTGAATGTTGGGTTAAGATAAAATTCTGGACAATGTAGGGTGAAATCCTGGCTCCACTGAAATTAAGTTCTGTAGTTGACGTCAGTGGGGCTAGGATCTTCTTAGGATTTTTAATGTCTGTCTCACAATATTTGTTGTTTTTCTTCAAGTCTCAACCGCTTGAATCAACAGATCAGCTTTCATATTTTCTTTTAAATAATCATTATGCCTGTCTCTGCGGTAGTTCTTTTCATCCATAGATCACAAAGCACTATATAAAGGAGGTGAGTATCATTATCCCCATTTTACAGATGTGGAAACTGAGGCACAGAGAGAAACCATTACTTGCCCAAAGTCACCCCCCAAGCCAATGTCAGAGCCAGGAATAGAACTAAGAAAAGGAGTACTTGTGGCACCTGAGACTAACCAATTTATTTGAGCATAAGCTTTCATGAGCTACAGCTCACTTCATTCTCCTAGTTGCAGTCTAGTCCTCTTGCCACCAGGGCACACTCATGGTTACAGAGAAAACCATAAGAACATGAAGTGTGCCCTACAGACTCAAAAACCAGAGAGCAAATCAAAAGAACCCAACATTTACTATTTAAAGCCAATTTCATGATTTGGGGGGCCCTGATTCATGATTTTTCAATGCTTGGATTTAACAATAATGATTTTTTCCCCAAAAAAATTCTCCCAACCTCTGTGGTCTTCCAATATTTCATTTCTTTTGAGGATCCCTGTGCGTCATGGCCCCAGTCAGGTTGAAGGTACAATGAGGACACCTCTGGTTCTTCTCTTTTTGATATTTGTATTCGCAATGAATGAACTCAGAAAGTGCAAAGGCATTTGGAAAATTAAAGGAGATGTTCTGTGAAATTTCTCAAACCTTAAGTTTTGGAAAGAAGTTAGGTGTCTTATTTTCTCTCAGCCACTTCCACAAGCACCACTAGATATACGTCGCCATAGAAGCAGGAGATAACACAAGACAATGAGGAACTCTTAGTAAAAGTGGATAGAGCAGGCAACAGGTGAATTCAAATCCTGATTAGATCTAGGCTTATTGTAAATTGGGGATTCATCCCATGACCTGGGAAATTTCAGCACAGAAAACACAGGCCTCTAGCACTGGAGGGAAAAAAATTAACTTCTCTAGATGTGACGAAGTGGAAGGCTATTGTAGTAACCAACAACGGCAAGTACATCTCTTGTATTGAGCCAGGGTATTACATTATGACTTGCATCTGATTTTAAAGGTCAATCAGGACTAAGATTCCGGATTCAGTTTTGACATCATCAAAATTTTGCAAGCTATTCTCACATATTTTCAGTCCAAACCGGCGGAATCCTCGTGAAATCAATCTTTCCAAAATTTTGGAATGCCCGTGTACTAAAAACAAAGAAAAAAAGAAGGCTACAAAAATACCCATCTGGGTTTTTACCCAGTCTGGAACTGGAACCGGAACTTTATTCTGAATCCTCTTCAAAATCCACTGGGGTCTTGATTTGAGGTTCCTGTGGGTTTATCTTACCTCGGTTTGGAAGGGTTAAATTTTTATCAGTAAATGTCGGTAAATGCCAGTTGCGCCATACAGACTGTCAACCGACCAAAATAAAAGGTTCCATCAATACAAATAGAAATGTACAGAGAAGCAAAGTAAGAAACATGCTGCGTCAGAACTTCTTGGAGTTTGATTTAGGAATATATTGTGTATATTTTGTCTTGTGACATTGACAATTTGAGTTTTAATCATTATAAAGTGCAAACTTTTCAAAAAACCAATTGTCTTTAAATAATTATTCTCTGACCCACCTTATTGTCTGACATGCCACAGTAATTTCCCACAAGTGTGAAAATACAAATAGACAATATTTTTTTAAAAAATGCTTACAAATAAACCTTGATATTCTCTGTCAAAATTATAAAAAATAAAAATTGAATTCTGCCAAGCCTGTCGATATCTCTATCCTTTCCACAGGCCATGCTTTAATATAAATAAATGATTGGCACATGTGCAATTTGTTTCATTTTAAATTAAATACAAAGTAAGAGGATAGTAATGCATAAGGGCTGGATTTTGAAAGGTATTTAGCTGCTAAGTGTGGTTTTAAAAAGCATCTAGGCCCTTAAAACTCATAGAAAATCCCATTAGGCACCTAAATACATTTAACAATCTGGCTGTAAATGTTCAAGGATGTGAGACACTAAGGACCAGATTGTTAAAGTTATTTAGTCACCTAACTCACATTGATTTCCATTGGAGTTAGGCATCTAATTACCTTTAGATTTCTGGC